TTTTAAGCTTTAAGAAGAAAATGCTTTAACAACTAAGAAACGTTTTAACAACTTTCTTTGCTGGCCAGGAAGGAACTCCCCATAATGTGGCTCCCAACAGAGGACCTTTCTGTGATCCCGGCAACTCTGCTGACAGAGCCTCACAGATATACAGCCACCAGTGGGTGAATCCAATAGCAAGCTGGCTTGCTGATACTACTCTCAGTCACTCCCCCATTATGTCTTTCCAGTAGAGGAATGAAGCTGCCAGCTGTTTCCGCAAAGAATCCTGCTTGTGGGAGATTGGATCCAGCTGCCACTCCCACAAAGCACTGGGTTGTGTCAGTGGCAGGACACCAGATCGAGGCAATACCCTCAGCCTTTGCGTTTTTCAAGGAATGCTGATGAATTTCCACTAATCACCCAACACACACTTCCCCATTAAAATAGAGCACTACGCTCCCTGCACATACTGAAATCTGCAAAGGAGCAGCAGACCAAAATGTCAAATAACTGGAGACTTATGGTGGATGTTACAGGAGGGAAGAGAATCTAGAGGTGTGCTGATGGCTAGGGAGTGAGCTTGAGATTGCAAGTTATTTTCAATGAATCGTACATGTTCCTAGAACTTCACATGGGCACATTTTATATACAGAACTACAGCAAATCTATAGAATCTCAATACATTCGGGACCAAGCAACCTTGTGTGATAAGGGCTCAGACAATGCCATGTACTCAAAGGAACACTATCTGGTTAAGTATTCATGTCCTGGTTTTCAGGAGGTGCTGAACTCCCACTGTAGTCTCCCACTGACTTCACCTCTGAAAATCAAGCAACATTTTAAAAATAAATTTCCTTGCCTGTAAAACAGATAAGGCATTGAAAACAAAAACCTTTCCATTTTAATAATCCAGTTTAGTTTTAACTATTGTGCTGTTTACATTTTGTGCTACTCTTGATTTGGATAGCGACAAGAGAGTAATTATTTCCATTATTGTTCAGACGTCTGTGACTGGGCATTCACCCCACACTAGCCCTGGAGGAGTTAATATAAGGAAGAGAGGCCAATTAGCTATCGGCTGCAACTGAAGGGGAGCTAGCATGCAGTAAGGCTTAACTGTGGATAAAGCTCACCTGGGCAGAAGAGGCAGGACTTCTATAAAGCCAGGAGCTGGTAAGGGGGGGGGGGGAGAGTGAGAGGGGAGACGATGTGTGCGCACAGGGGCTGCAGTGAGGAAGCCTGCAGTCACACCCTCTGATACAAGGGGGGAAGAATAGGAGTCTGTCATAGGAGTGTAGGAATCAGTCCAGGGAAGAAACACTAAGGGCTGGGAGAACAGACGTGAACTGCTGGTTTGAGGACCCCTGGGTTGGAACCTGGAGTAGAGGGCAGGCCTGGGTTCCCCTACAAGCCACTGTGGGAGTGGTGCAGTCAGCGCAGTGATATGGAGGCTGCCTGAGACTGTGTGGAGAGACACTTTGGTGAGACCCCGGACGGGCAGGACAACTGTGACTTGGTCAGAAAGCTAAGCCACGAAGGAGAGGCGCTGAAGCTCCTGACCGGCAAGAGAAGGGCCCCAGAGCAAGTGACTGAGGCAACCAGCTGAGTAACTGCAGGACGGGGTGGACAGTGGCGAGCTAATTCTCCAGATGAGCCATGAGGAGGCGCCACCGCCGGGTGCCAGTTACACCATCATTTCACTTTTGTGTTTGGGTTGCAAATATTGCAAGGAATGTTTTTTTAAAATCAGTACGCCAAATTCTACTCTGCATGTACCGGATATGAGTGATATGAGTTATGAACATCAGGAAGGTGAGAAACATAAGCCATGCCAGAAGTGAGTGGAGACAATATTCTGACCAGCAGCTGGGTTGTGTGGACAGGATGAATGAAGGATGACACAGTTCCTTCCTTCAGGATTCTGATAGATAAACTTGGTGTCTGAAAAATGAAAAAACTGAGGGGACGGGAGGGGGTGAGAGAGAGAGAGTGCGTGTGCGTGTGTGTGTGTGTACACAAATCAGAAGGAAGTCATTTTGCAGATAATTTCAGCTGCATAAAAACAAATCATATCTGTTCCTTTCCCTCTCCGCCATTTCACATCGGTAAACAGGAAAGCAGGATCTGATGGATGAAGGACAGATTTTTGTGAACTGCTTCACAACTTTACAGTTCCTTGCATCAATTAAGATATTTCTGATTAATAAAGTAGAACAAAATATACTATGACTCAGTATTAAACAAGTGTGAACAGCTGTGCTAGCCACTTTTCAAAAGTAATGTCTGAGAGGTCATTTTAAGACTGACTGTCATTTGAACTGGCTGGGAAAGTCAGAGAAAAGAAGTGAGTGTGCAAATTTGAAGGTTAGGCATTCTAACAAAACAGAGGCATAAACAGGAGTTATTTGCTGAGTTAGCAATTATTTAAACAAGTAACTACACAATAGTTCCACTGAAGCAATGTTAGTTGCATTGTAACTACTAACACTGCTGCTTTATCTTCCAATACTTGTGGTACAAAATTGTGTTGCAACAGCACTATCAAACCGGGGTAATAATTATAACAAACCGGGGGTTAGGCAACACCACAATGGATTTGTTTCTTAGGTCAAATGTGGAAAGTTTGTTCACACTATGGGCCAGTAGGGAATACAGAACTAGTAAATGACTTGGATGCAATAGGTGCTTTGCAGTTGATTCAGAAAACAATAGCAATATTGACTTGTCCGGGTGTAATTTCCCTGCTTTAATTAGTCAAGCAAGGGTCAAAATATTCAACATATCTTCCATCATGACTCATGTGATCTTTGAAGATGGAGATGAACAAGGTGGAGAATACTTAATTTCTTCCAGAATTAACATTGCTTTGGATGAAATCACTGATTATTGGATCACATGACTGGAAAGGATACTGACTTTCAAAAAGTACCACCTTTGACAGATAACTCAGCCTTTGGTGAAACAAAGAAAGAGAATATTCACCCAATGTTAGTTAAACAAAGCTTGGGGCAATGATGTAAATCATCATGCATTCATAAACGGTGCAGGTTACATAAGTAGAGGCCACAAAGTACAGCAGTAGTTCCAAATTTTCCCTAAGTTCAGATGAATGGGAATCAAGTTTCTGGTTTGGGCTCATTATAGAAATAGGACCAAGTTATTACATCCAAATTGTCTAAAAATAACTTGGACAACAATTTTGGATCCAAGATTCAGATTTGGGACCTTCTCCAACTGTAATGGTTACTCCATATGGAGCAATACTGGATTTTGCCACTGAAAGTATCTTACATTTTGTTCTATTTTAAAATGCTATATATGATCTATCATCTTCAAATCCTCCCACATTGTGTTCTTAAATGATTGAATGCTTGATGCAATGACACCTTTTGAGCTGTAATGTCTATTAGAAGTGGGATTTTTACATTAAAATGACAATGTTTAAACACAAGTTTAGTGATGGTGACAAAAACCACAAATCTCACCACACAAAATATACAGTTAGGAGTTGGTCAGTCTTCAAGGCCCAGATTTTGCCAGAAGAGCTATGTAAAACAAAGTGTTACACTGGTTATTTAAAGCAGATGAGAAGACAGACTAACCTGTGGCTTAGAAAGAAACCTTGCTGAGTCAGGTCAAAACCTCAGGCGGTAGCAACAAAAAAAAAGAAAAAAAAGAAGCCAAAGATTAAGGGCAAGAGGATAAATTAGTAGAGGGGAAAATGAGCCAAACTATACTTAACAGAACTGGGTATTATGCATTTTTCACAAATACTCAGGTCCTTTGCAGTTGATTCAGAAATGTCTGTATTTCTGATATGTGAAATAATTCTCTGTATTATCATTATTCAAAGCATATTACAATCAAGTAGGAAACCCCAATACCAATCTGTATTAGTTTAATGATCTTTCCAACTGCTATTAGAGTCAGTCAGTTTTGTTTATGCCCTGTTGCCTTAAAATAAACATGTTATTCAGTTTTGAGTAACTCAGTTTATAATGGTTATTGGTGTAATTTGGCAGTATAATGACAAACTGGAATTAAATATATCCATTTTAATTATACAGGTCCTATCAAGGAACATGTCATATGGCACCAAACAGCACAATCAACTTTTACCACTTATCTCCACCTGTCACTGAATTGGAAGAGTGGCTTGTTACAGGGCCGCCCAGAGGATTCAGGGGGCCTGGGGCAAAGCAATTTCGGGGGCCCCTTCCATAAAAAAAAAGTTGCAATACTATAGAATACTATATTCTCGGGGGGGCCCTGCGGGGCCTGGGGCAAATTGCCCCACTGGCCCCCACTACCCCCCAGGCGGCCCTGGCTTGTTATAGAATTAACTCCTAAATGTTCAGAAGATATATTACTAATCGTAAATTAAAATGTATTCACCTAATATTGGTGGAGGAGTTGATAAAGTAAAAATCTATCCTGTGACACACTGATCCTCCTGCTGCTATTAAAAAATGCTAAGCAGCTCTATGGATTTAAAATTTGTATCAATTTTTCTTTGAATTGTGCTTGCTGGAAAGGACTTTTTTATGAGTTGTGACAGAAGGCACTTGTAAACAGTACATCCATTTAAGCAATAATTGATATTTCCCTTACTATAATTCACCTACCTTTCAAGAGGCAGAGCCTCCATGTACTATAAACATCAAATAAGAAATATCCAATTTTTCCAATGATATAGTTTAAAAGGACATTGTTCATTAGTAAGTTTAGTTCATTTTAAGACAATTTAATATAATAAGCTTAAACATAGATTTGATTGAAAGTTTAACAACACTTTTTAAGTTGTACTAGTTCAGACTTGTAAATCACAGCAGGTTAGTGGCAATGAAGGGATGAACTGCAATTACATGTCATTGAGAAGGTGTTAAAGGTGAAACAGTTTCAAGGTAAAAAAAATGTAGTAGCTAGCATTAATTAAACTAATGAGTTAGAGAGAAACTTTGCCCTTTGAGAAGCTAAATGAAAAAGCAACAATAAAGCTTACAAAACTTAGCTCGTACAATTTGCCGTGAAGGCGGTAGATTGGCTCCCTGAAATAGCAAAGAATTGTAAAAATAAAGTTTTAATTTCAGAAACATTTTCTCTATTCAGAAGTCATTTTGTCAAGCTCTTCTCACTTCCAAACAATTAAGGTAAATACAAAACAAAAGTCTGTTTTAGTTTATCTCTGAAATAAGGTTCAGCAAAGTCTTTTTACCAAGTTACCAATGTTGAGCTTTTTCCTTTTAAAGCCAAAGCTTTGTGGGGTTTTGCTATTTTGTTTTGTTATTTTAAGAGACAAAATACAGTCACGCAGACTCAGGAATAGTTACTCCGATTTGTATATTTCTGGGACATCACGGAATTGGGTGGTTTTCCTTCTACAGGACAACCCGAAAGCTGAGATGACTATGGCTTTGTCTACACTGGCAATTGAATGACAAAACTTTTGTCTTTCTGAGATGTCAAAAAAACACACACCCAAAAGACAAAAGTTTTGCAGACAGCGCTCTCCTGCTGACAAAGCTAAGCCCGCTCTTTGGGGGTGGAAGTTTTTTGTCGGCAGGACAGCCAACAAACAGTGGCTATACTGCGCGACTTTTAGCAGCACTGTTGTAGTGACAAAGCCGCGTCGCTAAAAGCTGTGTAGTATAGAATTAGCCTTAGTGTTTGACATGTGTTCCTGCACAGCTATAGGAGACGGAAGTCTCCCTCTTTAGAGGGTCTCTGGAACCGTTTCAACCATTAGACCTTTCGGTTTGGTTTTGTTTTTAATCCCACCTGGCATGTAACTCAAAAACACATAGAAGATGGTCAAGCTCTGGAGGTATCATTGCTTCCAAACTTTCCAGAAGCTAATGGACCATTTTGGCCAAGATTTCAAAAATGAGTAGTGATTTTTGGTGCTTTTGTTTTTGGGCACTCAACATGAGACACTTTAAAGAGGTCTGATTTTCAGAAAGAGCTGAGTACTTGCCCCTTTAAAGCATCTCAAATTCACCACCCAAAACCGGAGGCACTCATCAATACTGGTCACTTCTGAAAAATCTTTGCCTTTAACTTTTCATTGTAATGTTTAATGCAGGAGCAATTACGTGCGAGAACATCAGGGAGATGTGCAAGCAAATAATCCAGATTAAAGGAAGTTTACTTTATTTTATTTTGACTATCCAAAATTGAAACCATCACAAATGAACACTGAAATGATTTTTTTTTATTTGTTTTGCTTAAGACAAACAGACTCTGCGGAACCTTAGAAATATACAAAAATATATACTAAGGCTGGTTATATCAATCATCCTTAGAGTTTTAACTTAAAAAGAAAACAGAAATTGATCCTGTAAAATGCTGAGCACCCTTAACTTGCAGTGGAATCACTGGGAGTTGAGGGTGGCAGCACCTCTTCACAGTATAAGCATCTTGCAAGCCTGTACTACACATAATAAAAAGAAACAGCCAACTAATTTAGTTAATGCCATCCCAGCAAGAGTGCTATTCGTCTGAGACCACCAATCAGCTTTGTTTCTTCAAAGCAAGACTATGGTATATAATCAACATTTTTATGAAGTCAACTGAAAATTTTCAGCAGAGGTAAAGACAAGTCTGCTTTCGCCTACTGACCCGTCCCTTCACTGTGTTATCAAGCTGTGCACATGTGTGAACTAGTAAACTACTATACAACCAAGAGCAGGTATAAAACAAGTACTCACACGGTATTGGTCTTTGAAATCATTCACAAGTTTGAGCATAATGAAAACTAAATATTTAGAGACAACACAGGAAGAAATTCTGGGTACTTAAGGGCATGGGGGAGGAGACACTGAAGAACAGTCCAGTTAGCAGCAGAATTATTAAAAGTTATAGCTGACAACCTTAATGAAGATGTCAGCTGGTTCTGAAAACTTAAGTAAAGCAAGTAAAAAAAGATGCATTTTATATTATGTATCACGCAAAACTGGTCACTTATACATTTACAGCAAAAAATAAAAGATACAGCCCATAAAATCAACAACTGAAGTTCACTTGTACATGCAATTATCCATTCTCTTATCAGATGCCTACCTGATTTCCAACTGCACTTTTGTTAACCTGACTGCTTCGTTGTTGGGCACTAAAAAAAGCAAAGAGAAAAGTTACATTGAGAAAATTTAAATGCTAGATGAGTCCTTAAGCAACAGGCTTTGAAAACAATACAATGTCAAAATTTATGAGCTCAGAATCTGAAGCTAAGAAGAAACACAATTCAGTCTCAAATTCACAAGCAAACTCAGTTCATGTAAACTTCTGTTAACAGAAAACAGATCAGCACAAACACCTCCTCTGTAATGTACATTGCACTACCATAGTAAATAAGCCTTTGTGTTAGGGTTACCATACATCCGGATTTTCCCGGACATGTCCAGCTTTTTGGGCTCCAAATCCCCTTCCGGGGGGAAATCCCAAAAAGCCGGACATGCGGGGCCGGCAGTGCTGGGCCGGGGCCGAGCCGGGGGCCGGCGGTGCCGAGCCGGGGGCTCGGGGGCCGGGCCGGCAGTGCTGGGCCGGGGGCTCGGGGGCCGGGCCGGCACCCCAGGGCCCGAGCCGACCCAGGCTGGAGACGCCGGGGGGGCCAGACTGGGCCGCGCCTCCTCCCCCCACACCCCCCTTACCTGCTTCAGGCTTCCTGCGAATCAAATGTTCGTGGGAAGCAGGAGAGGGGGCGGAGTTGGGGCGGGGACTTTGGGGAAGGGGCGGAGTTGGGGCGGGGCTGGGGCCGGGGCCCCGTGGAGTGTCCTCCTTTTGGAGGCTCAAAATATGGTAACCCTACTTTGTGTTGACTTACATGTCTGATGAGGTTACTAAAGACATAAAAAGTTATGGCTCATCTGTGCACAAGTGAAATCTTAGGCAATATAAATATTAAAGAGGGGCAAGAAAAAATGAGTCAACTTTAGTTCTTTACAGCATTGCAGCAAAATCCTCCCCCACTCCATAGGTTCTCTAAAGGCCTAGTCTAGCAGCTTGTTTTGGATATTATTCTAATTTTTATATGCACTTTGAGGATGTAAATATAAAATGAGGGATGAAACCATCACAAAATGTGGTTAAAAAGCTGGAATGTTACAGCAATGCAGCATATTTTAAACTAAGTGTTTTACTCAGTTTCTGAACTTTGCTAATCCCATTACTGAAATGAAACACTCCTCTCTCATAAAAATGCACAAGTCATAATAGCTACAAAGTTTAATTCTAAAGGCATTTATATTACATGATACACTGGTAGCAAGATCACACAGTAAACACATTACTCGAAAAAGGGGAGGAGAGAAGAATCCAAACTTGCTTTGGCTATTAGGTTACTAGATCACCAGGGTAGCCATTTGGTGACAGCAAGTTTTGTTTGGAGGCTTCAGGATTAAATTAATTTGTCCCATTTCTACAAATATTAGCATATATTGCAAATCTGCCACAACCATTGCTTTGAGAGTAGGAAGGAGAATAAACATGAGAAAGTTAATTCCAGGCAATATCTGTTTGGATCCCAGATAAGTGGCCTGATTCTGCAGCTACTTGGTACAGAATTACCATTCCACAGATTGGCTGAAGAGTTGAGCCTAGGCTTGCCAACTCTGTAATATTTAAAAACGAGACACTCCAGCAAGAGTGCTGGAACCTCTCCTGACCCACCCCTCCCCCCCAGGCCCCGCTCCTGCCTGCCTCTTTCTCCTGAGGCCCTGCCCCCATTCACTCCTCTTTCCCGCTCTCTCCGTCACTCACTGCTTTTCCCTTCTCCACGACTCCCTGCATGGGTCGGGAGGGACTCGCCTGCAGAGCCGGGGCTGGGAGCTGCAGCCACCCAATGCAGGTAGGGGGTGGACCTGGCTGAGTAGGGGCTGGCCCGGGTGATGACTCATCGCCTCCCCGCCTGCAATGACCAGATGTTGGGTGTCTGGTCAGTAGATCTGATTGGATACTATCAGGTCTCCTTTTTGACCGGACTTTCTGGTAAAAAAACAACAACAGGCAACTGGCCACCCTAGTTGAGACCCTATGCACTGATCCTACAAACACTTTACTCAAGTTAACAGTCCACTTGTTTTCAGTGGGCCTACTCATGAGTAACATTACTCACGTGCATGTTTGCAGAACTGGGCCGCTAGTCAATAACCCAAATATCTGGAGACGTGCTGAGGTTTGGTTAGTCATAGTGCCCCCTTTATTGTATTCATCAAGCATAAATTATGGTTAATATTCTACACACTCAAAATATGAAGTTAACTCCTCAAAGACAAATAGGTTCTGAGTTACTGTCTCAGTAGCACCCATACAAATTTGCATTTGGAAATATCATTCCATCTTCACTTTTACATGAAACTTTCCTATCAGCTTGCAAAAGATAATTAAATAGGAAACCAACATCACATTAAAAAAGAAGAGTCACTGTAGGGACAGTTATGAAATTAAAAGAATTAAAGTTATCTTAAGTTTGGTTAAGAAAATAATGTCTGATTTATAGTTTGCAGCTAGTAAGGAAAAGGCCCCAATCAGCAAGTAAAAGAAGGCCACGAGACTAATAAGTAATATTACCTATTACTTGCAGTGTGGGGCAGGATGTATGGTTCAAAAAGTAACAAATAAAATAAAGAGCAGCAGTAACACGACAAAACAAGGTTCTTAAAAGAAACAAGCACAAACCTTCCCACTGTTCTGTTAGTCAGCAAGAAGAGATAAGAGACCTCGGGAAGAAAGGAGATTGGAAATCTTATCTGTATTAAGACTAGAAATAAGGGTGAATCGTCTCAGATGGGTTTTTAGTTGAAGTCAGTCATTGGCAATGGCATCACCGCTGTTTGCAAACTCTTAAAGGGTTCATTGCTAATACCTGGCTGATCATGTTGGAGCTGACCAATATGGGTCTAAAGCACCACTGGGTTTTGGCCATTTGGAAGTATCTTTATCAAATGCTTATAAATGTTCAGGTGTAGTGACTGCTTATTTTTAGACTGTTAAGCATGTTTAGAGCAACTGTATAAAATACCATTTGGCCTTTGGACTTAGAAGAATTTATGGTTAAATTAGTGCCTGGTGTTTTCCCATATTAGCGTGAACTATGGGGAGGGATAGCTCAGTGGTTTGAGCATTGGTCTGCTAAAACCAGGATTGTCAGTTCAATCCCTGAAGGGGCCACTTAAGGATCTGGGGCAAAATCAGTACTTGGGAAGGGGACTGGACTTGATGACCTTTCAGGGTCCCTTCCAGTTCTATGAGATAGGTATATCTCCATATATTATTAATATTATTATTATTATGTTCCATTCTTTCTTAAGCACAGTGATTGGCTTTTTGTTTACCTAGATTAAAAAAATATTGTTCACTTAAGGAATCAATATATATGGCTCTGTTTAGAGTGATTAGATAGATATGGATTAGAGCTGAGCAAATCAGAATTTCTACCTGCAGGGAATTCCAATATTTCACCATTTGTTTTCCTCCCAAATCGGGACTTAAAGTCAAAATATCAAATTTTTTCTCAAAGTTTCCAAAAGATTTTGGTTCTGAAATGGTTCATTTTTATATAACTGAAAAGAAGTGTTTTGACGTTCCCAATCCAAAATGTTTCATTTGAAGTTAATTTGACATTAAACTGCATCTGCTTAAGGTATAGTGGTGCCCCATTGCTCTGATTCTTCCCTATGGGCCAGTCACCCTGGCCAAACTACATCTCTTGCAATGTACCATAGTCATATAATTCCCATGATTGATCATGAGACTCCTTCAGACAGGAGGCCATGGTGCATCATGGGAAATGTAGTCTGGAAAGCTCAGATTTTGCAAAAACTGCATTTTCTCTGTCAAAAAATTATCTTGACAGAAAGTTCCCAACCTGCTCCAATATAAATGTATTTCTTGTAATACTAAATGTTAATATAGTTGATACTGCATAATTTCTATTGTACTATATATTAAGAATGGTTTAAAAATGTAAATACAAATTATTTACTCATTCTCTTCTGTTGAACACCATTTTAAGAAGCTAGACTTCTATAGTTGAGATGCTTCTTGTCTCCTTAATAATTTCTTCCAGTAGAGATGCTTACTGACAATTGCACTTATCAGAAAATAAGTGTATTGCCATTTTGAGGTCTATGTACACCAGAGAATGGGTTTTGAAGCTACTATCACAACTCAAAGTTCTAAGTCACTGGACTCAGCGGGGTGCACTTTGAGCCACCCCTTGCACAGGTACTTAGGTTTCTCCCAGTGATCTAATAATCCATTTCTTTCCAATGGGGGGCAAAAATATCCCTTTAAAGTAATCAGTGAAAGAGAATAAGCAGCAGAGGTTCCAAACCTTCATATCTTTGTGCAGAAAAGGGTGGATGAGTAGTATTCCATTAAAACATACCTCTTCTGAGGGTAACAATTAAACATTAGTAATTCTCTGCAATGTTTATACAAAAAAAATGCAAGACTACAATATGCTGTGAAAAACAAACTGGGTGAACATAGCCTCAGAAGTAAACATAACCATTTCCTTTGTTTAATATATCGATAGGTAACAGCCCCCCAAAATACAGCAGTGGGTAAAGGAAATCCAGGGGCAACACAAAAGAAATAAAACTCTTGGGGAGGGAGACCGGCACCCTGGTTCCAGGAATATATTGTGTAACCCTGAAAGGTCAGATAGGATTCCTCTTGAGATCTGATCTAAGCAATAATTCTAGAATAATGTACAGAACACAGGTAAGTTGTTTTTCAGAAAGGTTGTGAACCCATTCTAGAAAGATATCATAGAATCATAGGACTGGAAGGGACCTCGAGAGGTCATCTAATCCAGTCCCCTGCACTCATGGCAGGACTAAGTATTACCTAGACCATCCTTGAGAGGTGTTTGTCTAACCTGCTCATAAAAATCTCCAATGACAGAGATTCCACAACCCTCCCTACGTAATTTATTCCAGTGCTTAACCACCCTGACAGTTAGGAAGTTTTTCCTAATGTCCAACCTAAACTATACTTGCTGCAATTTTACCCTATTGCTTCTTGTCCTATCCTCAGAGATTTCCTTCCTCCTCCTTGTAACAACCTTTTGTGTACTTGAAAACTTATCATATACCTCCTCATTCTTCT